CTATATACAAACATAAACAAAATTATTATATTTAATACACGTTGAAACCAGACAAGTGAACAACTATATACAAACATAAACAAAATTATTATATTTAATACACGTTGAAACCAGACAAGTGAACAACTATCTATAAACATAAACAAAATTATTATATTTAATACACGTTGAAACCAGACAAGTGAACAACTTTATACAAACATAAACAAATTATTATATTTAATGCACGTTGAAACCAGACAAGTGAACAACTATCTATAAACATAAACAAAATTATTATATTTAATACACGTTGAAACCAGACAAGTGAACAACTTTATACAAACATAAACAAAATGATTATATTTAATACACATTGAAACCAGACAAGTGAACAACTATCTACAAACATAAACAAAATTATTATATATAATACACGTTGAAACCAGACAAGTGAACAACTATCTATAAACATAAAAATATTGCGTGTGAAGATATAAATGTTTTGTGTTGGCTCTTATAATAAAACTTTCTTTTTTCATATACCATGTCAGAAAAGAGGTGTGGCACGAAGATGAAGCTCGCGTTTGGAAATACAGCCACATCTCTCCTAATCATGGCAGAAAAGATTCTAATCGTTTCGAAGCAGACCGAAACAGGGAAGCTTACCGGCTAGGCGGCCAAGGGGATTTCAGACGTGAACGAGTAGAGAGGGTATATCAAGAAACAAGAGTAGTCTCACCAGACGACCGGATAAAATATACAGAGTTGCCAAGAAACGTAACTGGCGGTCAACAAGTAGGAAATTACTACGTTGTTCGCAGAAACATAAAGAACCATCAGTGGAGAGATGGAGATAGGTACAGGGCTGATCAACTGGATGACAGCAATAAACCGAGAAGAACAGAAATTCTTTATATTAGAAGCCCTATTCATGACCCTGACGTTCACATTCTTAGGTACGGAGGTGAAGCTGATGACGAAGAGATTTTTCGTAGTGTTAGTCAGCAAGAGAACATCAGAGAGAGACAAGAGCAAAGAGATTCTCGATCGTACGATGCATTACGTCAGCCCAGAAAGATTATATATAGGGATGAGTCAGATCCTACAGATCAACAGCTTAAGTTTTCTAGGTATCACAGAACCAACAGCGACGTCTACATACCCAACATGGATGGAGATATCCTTAGTCGACCAGTACAAAACAGCAGAACACAAGCAGCTTGGACTGGTAACTTTACTATACCAAAAGAAAAAACTAGAAGACAAATAATACAGGACGAAGACTTCCATTGGAGAGACAAATTTGAGGTTGAAGAAAATGAAAAACCACAACGTAACTCTGGCATTCAAAACACTTTTCATGTAACAGAACAACCGGAAAACATTCATCAACGGTTGGAGCCACAAGACAGAATTACACTGGTCTATGGTGAATATAAACAGCATTCACCTGACGTCGACCACTCACAGCAAAGAATTGACAGTTATCAGATGACATCAAACGATGCCACACATTGGACTGAACCATCAGCTAACCCTAACATGACTCGAAGGGAGATAATTAGAGAATACAGATATTCTAATAATGAAATGGACCAACGCCCACAGAATAACCACATTTCTACACAAGATCTGGAAGACAAAGCTAGAATAAGTCAAGAAAATGAGAAAATGTATATTGAAAATTATTCCGGTCAACAAAAACTTGAAGATGTTATTCAAGGAAATAAACAAGGCGCCTTAGTTAATCCTGTCCTCACGCAAAAGGAAATAATTACAGAATACAGATATTCTAATAATGAAATGGACCAACGCCCACAGAATAACCACATTTCTACACAAGATCAAGAAGACAAAACTAGAATAAGCCAAGAAAATGAGAAAATATATATTGAAAATTATTCCGGTCAACAAAAACTTGAAGATGTTATTCAAGGAAATAAACAAGGCTCCTTAGTTAATCCTGTCCTCACGCAAAAGGAAATAATTACAGAATACAGATATTCTAATAATGATATGGACCAACGCCCACAGAATAACCAGAATTCTGCAAAAGATGAGATGGACAAAACAAAAATTGGTAGAATGGATAATGAAAACTACTCGAAGCATGAGGCAGATGAAAGTATTAATCAAACAAGTGAATCAAATGTTATAAGCCCCAGTGATTTATCCAATCAACTTGTTACCAGCAGAGAAATACAGAAATCATTTATGATCAACATTCAGCCTCAAAACTCCACTAGTGAGACGCACGTTGTCAAAGAAAGCCGTGTTACACATGTAGATAATAATGTCAATACACCTGTCGAACAAAAAGAAAATAATAGTAATAATTTTTTAGTGTATCGAGAGGCACCTCTTATCATCCCTGGCCAAACAAACCACCAGGGGGTGCCTCAGTAAATAATTATTATGATCAACGGCTTGATGATTTGAACCACAAGGGATCAGCAATAGAAGAAAGCCACCAGGGGACATCTTCCCACGAACACTATAATGGACATCTGTCTCGTGCCAATGAAAAACAATTTGGCAACAGCTTTGAGGCGAGTAAACCATTTCCACAGATTAGGTCGCAAAATTAAATGCTAAGTGATAAATAATCTCAAAGTCAGCCTATTAATTTTACCTCCAGCAGTATTTCTAATGTATACAATAGGGCTACTTATAGCAAATGGAAAGAAGAAAATAAGAGATCTGAAACAAGTAATAACTCGCCCTCTGGCGAACAGGATAATAGCAATTCTCAAATACTTACTGAGCAAAACAAACGCATTGCATCCAACTCGGTGAATTCTCAGAAGCCAAATGTGTCCAACAGCTACCATGCTAGGGAATGTGGTAATGTTTATCACACAGATTTTAGTGATCCGAGAATATTTCATGCTGAACACAAAGCTTCTGAGCCAGATAATAACATGGACAATTTACATTCGGAACAACACAACGCAGAGAGATTTAATTATTTCAAGCCGAGACAGGGTGGTCGTGATCAACCACAAAACACACCGACGGATAATTCGTCTACATAGAGAAAACCTTATAGTAAACAAGGCAATGAATGGCTTGTCTACACATAGCCAAGATGTCAGTAAAGAGCTAGAGAAGCCAGAGGAGAATAATTCGTCTACACAAAGACAGGGACAAGAAGATAAACTACAAAACACAGAGAGAAATTGTGTATCTATACAGAGAGAATATGATGGTGAATAAGTTCCAAACATGGAAATAAATGGTTTGTTTACCCATCATCAAGGTGATGATGATCAACTACAAAACACAAAAATTAATAATTCGTCTACACGGAGAGAAGATGATAGTGAATAAGTTCAAGACAAGGAAGTAAATGATTTGTTTGCATATAATGAAGATGAACTTGATGAATTAGAAAATCGCACAGAAGAATAATTCTTCTATGCAGAAAGAAGATGCTGCTGAAAAATTTCTAAACATGAAAATTAATGATTTTTATGGTTTTACAAAGACGACCATGTTCAATTACAAGATTCAGATCCGTGAAGTTCAGACGACAACAACCGGAGAGCATCCAAGAAAAAGAAAAAGAAGAAACGGCAGGGATTCTGTTGACTAAATAATGGAGAAGGAAATCAGGCTTCGATAAGTAATGGAAGTATGATGTGTGGTTATGATTCTGACTCAAGTTTTAGACATAGGGATGCCAGCTACTCACGAAAAAGAACAACTTCTTAGAAAGGAAGAGCTTATTTATCGTTACCTACGATGGAATATTAACAAAACGGCCAATCATTAATAAAACTTTCATCTTGAGGTTATGTTGTAATATTTATCTAATGCTTTATGTCGGCCAGTCTTTAATAAAACTTTCATCTTGAGGTTATGTTGCAATATTTATCTAATGCTTTATATCGGCCAGTCTTTAATAAAACTTTCATCTTGAGGTTATGTTGTAATATTTATCCAATACTTTATATCGGCCAGTTATTAACAAAACTTTCATCTTGTGGTTATGTTGTAATATCTATCCAATACTTTATATCGGCCAGTCATTAATAAAACTTTCATCATGAGGTTATGTTGCAATATTTATCTAAGGCTTTATATCGGCCAGTCTTTAATAAAACTTTCATCTTGAGGTTATGTTGCAATATTTATCTAATGCTTTATACCGGCCAGTCTTTAATTAAACTTTCATCTTGAGGTTATGTTGTAATATTTATCTAATACTTTATACCGGCTAGTCTTTAATAAAACTTTCATCTTGTGGTTATGTTGTAATATTTATCCAATACTTTATATCGGCCAGTCATTCATAAAACTTTCATCTTGAGGGTATGTTGTAATATTTATCCAATACTTTATACCGGCCAGTCTTTAATAAAACTTTCACCTTAAAGTTATGTTGTAATATTTATCCAATACTTTATACCGGCTAGTCTTTAATAAAACTTTCATCTTGAGGTTATGTTGTAATATTTATCCAATACTTTATACCGGCTAGTCTTTAATAAAACTTTCATCTTTTAGTTATGTTGTAGTATTTATCCAATACTTTATACCGGCTAGTCTTTAATAAAACTTTCATCTTTTAGTTAT